GAATTTGTAAATACAAAACAAAATACAAATTGAGCAGAGGCCTAGAGAAATTAGAAGAAGTGAACAAAGGAGGGGGAAAGAGCATGCGGCAGTGACATGTGTCGACGTCTTTGAGAGGCTCTAGCGAGCACACAGCCGCATTGGCAGCTGGAGGCAGAGCCAAGCAGGATTGGAGGCGGGGGTACACGGGACACGAACAGCGTATTTAGTTGAGCCAGCCAATGCTTGGGCGCAGCACCATCACCAGCAGCAGCAGCAGCACCAATACCAACATCAAAACACCAAGGCAGACGACATATTACACAAACTTGTGGGCACAGTTGTCGATGTTGCGGTCCCTACGTGTAACTGTTGTATTGCTGTGTATGTGTTGTGGGAGTGTCAACGGCAGCTGCTGCTGCCAACGTAGCAGGCGTAGCGCGAGCTGTGAAAAAATGCTCATCTTCGAACTCACCACAGCTCCTCAGCTAGACGCTCAGACTCTCCAAGTAGCCACCCCAATCTGACAGCAAAGCAAAAGAAGGAAAAAAAACACTCAAAATAAAAATTTCCAATGGAAAGGTGGCTGTCAGTGGAAGTGTGGTGATACACGCTCACTCTCATTGCAATGGGCACTCAGTCACTCTCACTCACTCACTCGCGCACACACACATACACGCACACACTGACTCACTCGCTTACTTGTTCGCTCGCTCGCTCGTTCGTACGTTCGCTCGTTCGCTCCGTCACGCACGGGAGAGCTCATTCATGAAGAGCGAAAAAATTCAAAGGCTGCCTCAATTTTTTTGTGTTTGTTTATTTTATTTTTTCATTTGCCATTCGGTGGTTGATCCTGGCAGCGCCAGCAACGCAGCGGCGCAGCAACGGGCGGCAGTGACGTCAACGTTGACTGCGGCAGTGGCAGCGCGCGCCAACCAAAACAACAAACCACAATTCACTTACAAGCGACGTTCGCGGTCGCTGCCAACTCGTCGGCCGCAGTCGTCGTTGACGTCGCGTCGCAGCATTTTAAAAATGGCTCTCAATTGCGGCGCGCTCCATCTTGCTCGCCGTTGGCGCTGGAACAGAACAGTTGAACTGCGTTGGAACTGCGTTCGCTCTGAACTGTTTCGCAACGAGCATTTAGTGTTGCCTAGTTAGTGGCGGCATGTGCAGCACGCGGGGCACACGGCATTCCGGCATTCCGGCAGCTGTTGCTGGCAAATTATTGATCACCGATCGCCGATCGTCGTCCGTCGATTAGCGGCCACTCCTTGGAGGAGGGGCGGAGCCAGTAGCTAATAGCGCGTCGGACGTCTCGCTCGCGCTCCATTGCAGCAGCCATTGGAAACGCTTGGTCGCCTCGCACTCAGTGGACGGGCTACGTGCGTCTATTTATAAACAACCCCCACAAACAGCGACGGCCACTGATCGATCGTGCGCTCAGCAGTGGTCGTGGCTCTGCTGCTTGCCACTGGTTGGCTGGCCTCAAAACTGTGGCAGCGCCCCCTTCTCCAAATTGTGTGCGTGTCTATGTGTGTGTGTGTGAGTGAGTGAGGGTTGGGCCCGATCGCATCGTTCCAGTTGCTCGCACTGCGTTCACGCGCTTCCAATCGTTTGGTCGACTGCGGCGATCGAGAAGAGAGAAAATTAAGGAACGGTTTTTTGTTGTTGCTTTCTTTTTTTACAGTGCGGTAATTGAATGATTTTACATTGGCAATGGAAGCTGTATGAAATTATATAGGAAATAATGTGAAATATTTATATTAATTACATTTGTACTAAGAGATGTGGATATTAAAAAAAAAATAAAAATTGACTATAATTCGAAAACAATAAAAATACGAATTTCTTAATATCCTAGACAACTTTATCAATTGAAATATATTTTAGTGTATTTAGATAATATATAAATCAATTCGCTATGAACTTGATCATTCTAAATGATCTTTTGCTTTAACCGTTAGGGCCAGAATGATTCCCGTTATCGGTTACCGGTTGCCGGCTACAGGTTGCGTCTTACCTGAGAAGGTGATCTACTGCCTGGCGGCTCAGATCTGCGCGGATCTGTCGATTGCTTGTGGGGCGGCTAATCGCCCAAAATATTTGCTGGGCGTGCTGGATAATCCAGGCGATTGACTTTCATAAGTAAAGGATTAAGAGGGAGTGCGGCGCTCGCGATTCCTGATCCGCGATCCGAATGTGGTTTGTCTACCTGTCGAGGCCCGAGGACAGGCAGTGGGTGGCTACCTGATTGCGAAAATGATTTTTATACCAGGGGCTTTGAGCCACAAGAACTAGAAAAAACGATCGTAAAAAAAGGGTGGCAGCTGCAACAAGAGGGAGAGAGAGAGAGGGAGAGACAGCGAGAAAAAGAGGAGAGTTTAGGTAGAGCTGCAATGATATTAGAATTTTGTCTGCTGCTTCTTCATCTGTTTTGCGACTGATCCGTTTTGCGTCCTGCGGCGCGATGCGCGTGCAATGCGCAGCTTCTGTACGAACTGTTGGAGATCAGCGGGTGTTGAATGAGCCACGCAAATTGCCGTGGAAAACGACAGGATAACGCTGGCGGAACGTACGTACGTACGGCTAGGAGCCCGGCCAGTTCGCTGGAATGGCTAGCTGAGAACAATCAAAGCCTTGCCGGCTACGTCCTTGTCGCACGCTACTTGCGAACCTGTATCACCTCATCCTCGGCCGGGCGCGTCCTTGCCGAGGCTTCTCTTCTTCTCTTCCAGCAGTCGATTGGCCTTGTTGTTGTTGCTGCTGCTGTTGTTGTTGTTGTCACAGCGAGCGGGCGCGCACGCATTGACAGCGACGCCGACGTCGCTGTTGATTGGAAGTGTGCGTGTACTTTCCCGACGCGTCGGCTTCGCTGCTGCCCTCACCCGCAGCGAGGCGCGTTCTCGCGACATTTTGGTTGGCTCGACTCGAGTCACGACCTGCACTTAAGATGATTCCCCTCCCCCTCCTCCCACTCCTCCTCCTCCGTTGCCATCCCCTTCCCCAGCATCCTATCTCACCACACCGGCACCCGCAACGCGCTCTCACAGCTCCCTCTGCCGCTCTCTCGTGACAGTGGCTAGCCAGTTGCTCCTCATTGTGGTCGCCCTGCCATCCATCCATTCGCTGCCGCTGCTCTGCCTTGACTCGCGCTCTCCCGCTCTCCATCTGTCTCTCCTCCTTCTCGTCTGTCCGTTCGCTCGTCTGTTTTGTGTGCAGCACTTGTGGCCTCGTTTTAACTTGCTTGGTGCTCCGCAATTTTTTGGGCTGCCGCGAGTTTGATTTGTCGTCCTGGCGGCAGAGGCGCAACCCATTGAATCTGCTCGAGAGGGGGGCACGAATATTTATGGAGTTTCTACTATATCAAAACTATATAAGATGTATTTAGCTATGCGTATAAAATATATATTTTTTTTAGTTTGAATATTTATTTATTTTGCTGACATATGCGTATAAAATATTTATTTATTTCAGTTTAAATATTCTTGAGATTTAAATTTTAAGTTTTATATCAAATAAATGCAATATTTACATTCGTTTGCAAAAAATTCTTCGACATATTAACTTTGTTCATTATTCAGTTTAAATATTGCAAAAATATTGATTTATTATACGAACATATGTATTTGATTTATATAGTGTATTATTAGTTGAAATGAAACGATATTTATTGGTTTAATAAAAGTTATATATAACCATTTATTCGTTTAGTTCCTATTTAATTTTGTTAATATATAATATATTATATTAATAAATAAACGAAAAATAATTGTTTTCAAAAAGACTTTAAATCTTTTTTGAATATAATATAAATAAAATACTTATTGTATGCTTTTTTAATGTGTTTATTAAATAAAAAAATTTTTCGACAAAAAAGTTTTCGAATGATAATCAAAATCAAGTTTACGATATTTTTCATCTTATTCATATTCTAACCGAATCACTTCCGTAAAGGCTTAGGCTTACAGCCCAGCTCAAGTAACTAGATCAGTTCGGACTCAATATAAATCACTCAGATCTTGCGCAATTGGCTAATCTGCTGATTATCCATCTATAATCCTTGACTAATCCAACACACTCCAAATTAATATCACTAATATATATGTACATGCATTGCAAACAGGATCTATTTAGCGATAGTTGTCGCTCTTAATGCACCCTCACAGTGGACGCCACTGTGGCTACTCGCAGAATTGTGCCGTTAGCCGCTACCTGTGGCTCGGCCATTGGGTGCGTAGGATTGCCAGAAGAAGCCTGGCACTGTAGACTGGATGCGGGGCCGTGGGGTGTCTCCTACACGCGCGCAGTTGGAACTGTTGAATGCCGTTGTTAAAGTTGCGTGCGTGAAGAAACCAATTTTCCAGCCTGCGACCGCCCGTCGGGGGGCCGGAGTAAGCGAGCGAGCGACTGAGCCGGCGACACACAGCGCAATAGACAAATAGAGCGAGAGCGAGCGAGATAGAGCGGCGAGAGCACAGCAATTGAGAGCAAGATGAGTTATTCCTTTTACGTTTTTCTTTTTTTTAGAATTTGCTTCGTATTTTTTTTTTCTTTTTTTTTTGCCACGGTTTTCCGCATGAGTTTTCATAAAGCCCCAGTCAGCCAGTGAGTGTTTTTTATCTACGTCATTTTATTTTTTTGTGCGCCCGCCTGCGCCTTTCCAATATGCTCAGAGAGCCGCCCCGCTCTCTCTGGCGCGATGCGCTCTCATGGCACATTTTTATTTTGCTTCCAATGATTTTTTGCCCTCTTCGCCTTTGGTGTTTTCAATTTTTTTCCCATGTTGTTGCTGTTATTTTTTTTTTCTCTTTTTCTTTTCGTTTGTCGGTTTGACCGCGCGTCCCTGGCCACAAGTAGCATGGCAACAACAACGCACGCCTCTTCCTCAGTCGCTGCTGCCGCTGCTGCTGCTGCCGTCGACTTCCCTTATTTCTTGTTGCCTTTGCTGCTGCTGCTGCTGCTTCTGCCGCTGCCTCTACAGTTGTTGTTGCTGTTGGCCGTGTTTTCTGTGTGCGCGAGTGTACACCGCAATGGAAAAATGGGAAATTTTTACTGTGGTTGTTGTTGTGGCAATGGTGGTTGATACCTGCCCCGGTCACCACCGCCACCGCCGCCGGCAGCCGTTGCACCCTTAGCCCATACACACACACACACACACGCACGCACACACAATAGGTAAGCGAACGAGCCAACCAAACCACGCAGCGACGTCCTGAATTATTGCAGCGAGTGCGAGCGGGTGCGCCTCATCGTCACGCTGCAGTGCAAGCGAGAGCGAAATACTGAGCGCGCCACTGCCGTCTTGCAGCGGCGCAGCAGCGACGCCGACGCCGACAGCGACGGCAACGCATTCTACTTTAAATACTGGCAACGATCGCAGTTGAGAAACAGTTCACACAGCGACTTTAACGTGTCGAGAACGCAGCCAGACAAGAGAGAACAAAATCAAAAGAAAAGACGAAGAAGCAGAAGCGAAGCGAAGCGAGCGAGAGCTGAGCACACAATTTTCGCCGCGTTTCGTTAGTTCAAAAGTGAACCGTAGTGAGCAACATTTTGTAACTGTAACTGCAACGGGCACCACCGAACGAGCGAACTCGAAATTATACTAAAACGAAAGACTTACAAGAAATTTTTTTGCGTGTATCTTGGAGTGCGAACGGAATCGAAGCGTGCAAGGGCAGCGGCATTGCCAGCTAGCTAGCGTTTCTTTGATTTTCCCCAACAAAAATTCAATATATATACCATATATTTTTTTTTTGGTTATTGTTGGAAAACAATTTCAAAGTGCAAGTGCAAAGAAGGATTACCAGGATAACGCCACTTGGATAACCGCAGCAGCAACAATTGATTTCGTTTTTTTTTTTGAGCACGTGATATTAAAGTGAAATTGTGAGAAATGCATTTGCCCACTGGACCCACCCTGGTGGCGAATACGTCCGCCCACACCCAGGTCCTGGCCGCAGCAGCAGCGGCGGCAGCGGCCGCAGCGGCGGCCACAAATGTTAGCCAAGGCAACATTAGCACACATTCGGCCAGCAGTACGGGCAGCTCCACGCCGGACAATAGCCATCACAGCAGCAGCAACAACAACAACAACAACAGCAGCAGCACCAACAACAACAACAACAGCAGCAGCAGCAACAACAACAACACGAGCAGCAACAACAACAACAACAGTTCAAACAGCTCCAACGCGAATGCGGCGAAAATGCCCAGCTCGATGACGGACATGTTCGCCAGCCTGCACGAGATGCTGCAGGAATATCACGGCGAATTGGCCCAGACCGGCTCGCCGTCGATCCTGTGCAGCGCACTGCCCAATCACTGGCGCTCCAACAAATCGCTGCCGGGCGCCTTCAAGGTGATCGCCCTGGACGATGTGCCCGACGGCACCCTCGTCTCGATCAAGTGCGGCAACGATGAGAACTACTGCGGCGAATTGCGCAACTGCACCACCACGATGAAGAATCAGGTGGCCAAATTCAATGATCTGCGCTTTGTCGGCCGCTCCGGCCGTGGTAAATCCTTTACGCTGACCATCACCATCGCCACGTATCCGGTGCAGATCGCCAGCTACAGCAAGGCCATTAAAGTAACGGTCGACGGGCCGCGGGAGCCAAGAAGTAAGCAAAGTGAGTTTTTTAGTTTCCATTACGATTTTCAGTTTTGAGTGCCCCAAATCCAAAAACCCAAATCCAAAAACCCGAAACCCAATACCAAACCCAAAGCCCGGCCAATAATCCCACCCGGAATTCCAGTTTTTAAACAAAAAGAAACGAATTTCGATTTCTCTTACGGATCGTACTAATTTATGTTCTTCCTCTTCTTCTTCCTTCCGTTCTGCTCTTCAGGCTATGGCTATCCACATCCCGGCGCATTTAATCCCTTCATGCTGAATCCCGCCTGGCTGGATGCGGCGTACATGACCTACGGCTATGCGGATTACTTCCGCCATCAGCAGGCAGCCGCCGCTGCAGTGCATCATCCGGCGCTCTCCAAGGCCGCCACGTCGCCCAATGGAAGCAACAGCGGCGTCATTTCGCCGGGCGCTGCTGGTGGCGCCGCCATGCCCACCGCCGCCTCCGCCGTTGTTGCCGCCGCCGCTGCCGCCGACTATCCACCGGTGCCGCCAGTCGTGGGCGTGCCCGTGGGCGGTGTGGTGCCACCCGCCTCCATGATGCCCTCGCCGCCGGGCGGTCCGCCAGCGTCGGCGTACGCCATGCCCCAATTTCCGTTCAATCATGTGGCCGCCGCAGCTGCCGCCGCCGCGCATCAGAGCCAGAAGGCCACGCCCCACGCCTTCCATCCGTATAACTTTGCGGCCGCCGCGGGTTTGAGGGCGCGCAATGCCGCCGCCGCTGCACTGCATCATGGCGGTTTGAGTGGCGCCGAAACGGCGCACATGAGCCCCGCCTCGTCGCGCCCATCTAGCTCCTCGCCCACGCCCACGCCCACATCCATGCCGCACGTGCTGCTCAAGCTGAACACCTCCATCGAGACGAGCTCCATCCACGAACAGTCCGCCTCGGATGCGGACTCTGACGACGAACAGATCGATGTGGTCAAGTCCGAGTACGAGCTGGACAAGTCCATCGACTCGACGCGCAGCTCGCCCACCCAGCAGATCTCCGTGCCGCTGCGTATGCGCTGCGACCTGAAAGCACCGTCCGCCCTGAAGCCGCTCTACCACGAGTCGTCCGCAGCGGCAGCGGCAGCAGCAGCAGCAGCGGCAGCAGCAGCGGTGGCCGCCGTCCATGCTCCGCGCCAGGCATCGCCCGAGACGACGCTGCCGGCGGCAACCAAGCTGAAGAATGCCGTTGTCCAGCAGAAGACCGTGTGGCGGCCATATTGAGCAGGAGTCACAGCAGTAGCACACACACACACTGACACACACACACACTCACACACACACAGCGTGATATGCAGGAGCAGGATGCAGAAAGCAGGCGCAGAGCGGCAGCAACATTGTGATATAGTCATATAAGTTAGGCACGTGCACACAGCAGAGCACAGCACAAATGGGGAAGAAGCAGACAATTTCCAAACCAAAAACAAAAACAACTCCGGCCGGCAAACGGAGCAGGAGCAGAAGCAGGAGCAGGAGCAGGAGCAGGAGCGGGAGCAGCACCAGCAGGATATATAGTCGTTGTTGTTGTTGATGTTTCAGGGGGGCAGGCGAAATGGGGTTGTGCGAGGAGCTCACTCGAAATTTTATGCTCGATTCATAAAGTCGTGCGTTGAGCTCGTTGCACACACACATACAAACAAAGAAACACCCACACACACGAGCACAAATACCGAACTAGAAAAACCTCAACTGGAATTTCGCTCGATCGCCGCGAGGCGAACTTGAAGAAAAACTGTTAAACGTCTTCTGCTCTCAATTCCCACACTCGAAAAAAAAAAAAAAAAAACACCAAAAAAGCAAACCAACTTTAGTTCAATTTTATCATTTTTTTTTTTGTACTATGTATAAAAATATTACTATTATTATTTTTTTAATTTTAACTTTTCAAAAACAAAAACTTTGTCTTCGTAGGGAAGTTCCCATAAAAAAAAAAAAAAACTGAAATCTCGTAGCATAAATTGAAATTAGTTTTTTAGTTTCACTCGACTGTTTTGTAAATAGTGCGTTATCTCTCCTCCTCCTCTTCCCCTTCTTCATAATTTTTTTTTTTTTTTTTTTTTTTATATTATTATTGAATCATGCGAATTTAGCTATTGATAATGTTTAAATGTTTAAGTTTTTAGCCATGTAAGGAATAAGCAAAACACAATTTTTTTGTCTAGATTTAAGTTTTAGCGCGAAAAAAATGAATGAACACAAACGAATTTCTGAAACCAAATAAAAAGAACAAAAAATCCAACTGAACAAATAACGAAAATTTTCAAATGCTTTTTTTTTTTTCATTCTATTGCTTCCCATTCTGATTTGGGTTGATGGGGAAACAAGAAATGGAAATGTTGTGGGAAGTGGAAATTAAAGGGAATGCGAATATATTTTTGAAATTTCCAACAATTTCCGTTGCTACTAAATTGAACATCGAGTATAAGAGTTATAGGTTGAACTGATTCGCTCAGGATATCAAATACAGTTAGATATTAGAGTGGAAATAGGTATACATCATTGATATCTATGGTTAGATATTAGGTGAAAATATCATTTGATATTATTGTTGAATCTCAATTGAGATTTTCTAAATTTGTTGTTCACATTTTTTTTCTTCTTCAATATGATAACTAAAAAAAAAAAAAAAAATAAAAATAACTAGAATAGGTGTCTCGATGGTATCAACTGGTATGTTTTATATGCTCAAAATTCATAGCCAAATATAGTCTGTGATATTATTGAGCCATTACAATCTGTGAATGGGAATTCACAAAAGAATTCTCAGACAATCCTAAAAATTTTAACTTAAAAAAATCATATCCAACTTAATATTAAAGAAAAAAGAGTGCAAAAGATGAGTAAAGCGTGTAAAACAAAGTGAGAAAGAACAGATAGATATATAGAATAGTTGAATTGGTGTGGTAAATCACAAGAAAATTAGAAGAGATTTTACCAGCTTAGCAATCTAGTTGTAATTCACTTCCCACAGCTGCAGCTGCTAGATTGAGCATCTCCTTTTCTTTGAATAATATCGTAGTATTTTATTCTCTATTCTATTTTATACTACTATACAGAGTGGCAAAGCTAATCAGCCGATGCTGTTTTCCTTTCTCCCTTTGCTTTCAATTGGCTCCATTTGCAAAAGAGAGTTTTCCGATAGGGCGATTATTTATGGCTTACCCTGTATGACTTAATATAGTTCGTAGTTATGATAGAAAGCCTAACCAAAGTGTTTTATGGAAAAGGGAGTCAAATATTTCATTGTATCTCGTATTAGATTTATAATGGCAAATATGATGTATGTATAACAGTCTTCTGAGAAGAAAGATTGAGATTGATAGAAAGAGATGGTTAGATAAATTGATATATGTATGTTTATATATAGAAATCTTCACGTTTTGGCTTAACATTTTGACAATATAAAGTATTTATTCTATATATGTATATGTATGTATTTATTCTTATATACTTATGCAAATGTATACCTATATAGGTATATCTATATAAATGAAATAATTTTTAGCTTGGCCTAAAAATCACTGCAAATCAAAATTTTTTTTTTCTGTTAAAGAAAATCAATTCATATTCTATATTCACAAAAAAAAAAAAAAAAAAAAAAAAAAAAATAATAATAATAATAAAATACAAATATGTATAAATATACATATATACCTAAAGTTTGCTAATAATAAATAATCATGGCTGATGGTAAGTAAACCCATGCAGTCGGATATGCCCATTTGAGCAGTAAACTCAAGAATTATTTATATTTTTTTTTTTTTGCTTCGCACTTTTCAATTGTGCCTGCATGGCCAGAGCTGCATATGCTGACACTACCGCCTGCTGGTCAAGTGTTCTTCTTCGTTATCTCCTGCCTCGGGATCCTGCGACTCCTTTCAGGTCTTCTCGAAGGTCATTGGCAACCGCAGCGCGTACAATGCGAATCGATAATGGAAATTAAAACGCATAATTTGAGATGACGAGGCCTGTGGTCTGCTTTTATACTTTTACCAGGTCTCTACAATCTCTCTCTCCCTCTCTCTCTCTCCGTCTCTTATCTCTCTTTCTCTCTCTTGCACTCTGTGGAACACCCGGTGTCCGATCGGCATGTGCCCAGTTAATGCATTTGTCGCATTAATTAGCATAACAACCTCAAGTGCGGCGCTGCTCAAGGACAACGCAGCAGCTCATTCCGTTGGCCCATTAACCGCACGGAGAGTGTCAAAAAAAAAAAAAAAAAAAGATAGAGAGGGAGTGGAAAAAAAGAGCCCATAAGATGTTCCATCGATTGGACATAGTTAACGACTACAGATCGCCCATTGACTGGGACATAACCTTGCGTTAAATTGCTGATGTTTCCATTATCGTAATACCCTGTTGGCACTACGCGTACAGTGTCTGTGTGGCCCGGCCACTGAGCTGGTATACCCCATGCCTGAGCAAGAAATCCTCATTCTCAAATTGATATTCGGTTATTGTAAGAGATAATGAGGTCATACTCCATGGAGTTATTTGTATATATGTATATATACGTATATACGAGGTCTGTTTAGAAAGTATTACGAATATTAAACTTGATTTCTGCGTAATTTTTCTTAACAGCCGGAGCGAGGCGTGGCACATTCCATAAAGCATATATATTTATTACTAGGGCAATGAATTCAATCGATCTAGTCATGTGCTGTCCGTCTGTCTGACTGTTCGTCTCTCCATCCGTCTGTCCGTTGGTTGTTTCGACTGTCCGTCGTTCTGTTCATCCGTCCGTCGTCATCTGTTTGTGACGGAGCGTACTTTATTTTGATCGCCTAGACATCCACCTGTACCTTTGTTTATCCATTAGTCTGTCCGTCTGTTTATCCATCTGCTTATCCATCTGTATATCCGTTTGACTATCCGGCGGGTTTTTATCCGTCTATCCGTCCATATGTCTCTTTATCTTTATGTCCGTTCATCAATTTGCTCGTCCACCTATCCGTTCTTCCATCCGTTCTTTCACCCGTTCATCTCTCTGTTCGTTGGTCCCTCTGCCCGTCCGGCCGTCTGTCCGTCGGAGTGTCCGTCTTTTATAAGCCAAAAGCTTTCGCCTTATAGCGCATATATAACATCATATATCGTAATAAACAATTAGGTATGTGCACACAGCTATCCCTGGCAGTCAAGTTGATCCTTTTCGGATTGAGGTGGGGCTTACTGTGAGATCTCTGATCGTTCCGAGCTGCCATTGAGCACATGTCGTAACCAAATCTATGTCTATGGGCTTGTGGCTACTGCGCTTATTTCGCCAACAATCAATGGAACACTTTACATTTTCGCAATGTGTTTTACACTTTTCCGATGCCTGATTTTCCGAGATATACTATATATGTGCTAGGTATATATATATATATATATATATATATATATATGTGTATATATATTATACATATGTATGTAGTTGCTTCTTCTTCTTCTTCATTTTGTTGTATTTACGTTGCAATTTGGGTGCGTTTCTTTGTTGTTGTTGTAAAGTGCGGCACATGAAAAACTATTTGACTATTTAGCATTAATAGTTGTTGTTGTTGTAGTTGTTGTTGTTGTTCGGTTGCCGCCGCAACTGGGGTTGACTGTGTGATTGTTGGCGGCGGTAAGCGAAAAACTGTGAAAGTCAAAAAAGCCTACGCACCCAAACATTCAGCCAGCCGCACACTCACACACACGCACACACACACGCACACAGTCTGTCCAGTGAGCGACAGATACATGTGGAGATGCATTAACAGATACAAATATTTTCGTATTGAGATACACAAAACCGCGCGACGCAACGCGACGTGCAACAAAAACGAAAACGCAATCGAAAAGAAAGAAATCAACTGAAATATATATATATGCACATACATATAAAATAAACAAAAACGAAAAAAACAAGGAAAACGAGAGGAGAAAATAAAAATGGCCAAGCATTGCAATGGAAAATGGTCGGCCAGAAATTACAAAGAGCGCATCAGTGGAAATTGGCGAAAGTACGGTTAGAGGTGAAATGCGCGAAATGCCCATGCAGAGCATCGGCACAGAGCACCGTCCGCAACAGACAGACATATATATGTATACATGTATAGGCACATGTATATGTGTGAAGTTGTACAAATTACAAACGAAATAAGAGAGTTTTTCGGGCATTCGAAAATGAATTGCAATCGCACTACAGCAATAGGCTCTATTTGCTATTGTAGTAGCTGCACTAACTTTGTGCATTATCAGAACAGTCCATAGCACTCAATAGGGGTTAGCTGCTTGAAGGGAGGATACAATAAAAAATGGATAATTCTTTAATTATATTAATATGAATGTCTCTTAATGTATTATAGATGTATTTACATATACTGGTAATTAAATACTCGTAAATAAATACATATACTTTAATTTCGAAATGCCCAATGGAAGATATAAAGCTTAGTTATTTAACTATACCTGCACATATCTTTATTAAGTGAAAAAAAAAAAATTGAATAACAAAAAAAATTAATATATATATTAATTTTAGTTTGATTATATATTTTGCATTTTTTTTTATTCAAAAATGTTTCATAAAAAAAAGCTAAAAAAATAATATGTCTGCTAATAATAAAAATAAAAATAATAATAAAATTTTTTCACTAAAATTTGAGTTAAATAATTATTTTGTGTCATAAGATTAACTAATTTTGTGGAATTTCATAGCTCAAAGCAATTTAACTTTACTTTTATTTCAAAGAAACAACATTATTTTGTTGAAATATGAAATTTTCGTAATTTAGGCAAAATATACAAGATTTTTACAATAATTAATCAAGATTAGAATTGC